AACTTATTTCTTATTGTGAGTCCCATGACTGAGAAAAAATAATGTGCTATGAAGAAATAGAAGAAAGAGAAGACAGGTCCTTGTCCAAGCCATTGCATTTGTTTATTCTTGGCCAGTGTTGTACACCACCAAACCCCTAATAAATGTCTTGTTCTTGCTTACAATAATCATCCTCTTATAATCTTCAGTAAACTCTTGTAAGTCAAACTGGTTCTCCTCAAAACTAGGCAGTCCATTCAGGGCCATATTCTGAAAAAAGATTTCTTTATCTGATCATCAAAATGTTGAACTTCCCTGTCATAATGGTCCTTCAATAGCCAAATCACATGTAAATAACAAATTAGCGAATTTGGTTTTCAAGCCAGTTTTAACTTTGGAGTTATGGTGGGAGGAGTGGGAAATATCTGAACTCTGAGTGTCCAGATATTACTCAAAGTAACTAGACTATCAAAAACATGTAAGATTTTTTTTTATTTGGTATAAATATGCATCTAAATCAGGACCTCCTGCTACTTTTTCCTGCACCCTGGACATAAGTCCCTCCCAGGCATCACCACAAATGTATCAGATTTTTTCGAAATTTAGCTGATGCCACTATAAACATAAATATTAACAGATTTAATATTATCTGATTAAAATCAGAACAAATATATTACAAAACAATACCTATAGTCATTCATATAAGAGATCTTAACATTGTACACCCTGGCTATAAAAGATAGAAGACACCCGCCCCCCCAAAAAAAAATTACAATAAACCTTCATCTGAGCCAGCAACCTGGCAGGATAGAAAAAGAGAGGGGGAGAGGGGGAGGAGCATGTTGCTCCCTCCTTCTGAACCGCACCATGCTACAAAGTTCCATGTTCCCATGTTTCACGGGCAGTACAGTGGCTAAGTGGTTAGCACTTCTGCCTGGCAGTACTAGGGTAACCGGTTCAAATCCCAACCATGGCACCACCTGCCTGGAGTTTGCATGTTCTCCCTGTGCCTGCGTGGGTTTCCTCCGGGTACTCCGGTTTCCTCCCACACTCCAAAGACATGCTGGTAGGTTAATTGGCTCCTGTCCAAATTGTCCATAGTATGTGTATGTATGAATGTGAGTTAGGGACAGGTGCGGACTGACAACTCATTGGGCCCCCGGGCAATAGGGGATCATGGGGCTCAGTGTCCTTCCTTAAACTCAAAAAGCCTATGAAAAACGTACCGGGGGCATCTCATGGGGCCCCCTACTTACCCCGGGCCCTCAATAGGGGATCATGGGCCCCCTGTGTCCTTGCCCAAACTGAAAATAGCCTATGAAAAAGGTACAAGGGGCATCTCATGGGGCCCCCTACTGGCCCCGGGCCCTCAGGCAGTGCCTGAGTTTCCAGATGGTCAGTCCGTCCCTGGTTAGGGACCTTAGATTGTACACCGCTTGAGGGTTAGGGACCTTAAATTGTACACCGCTTGAGGGTTAGGGACTGATGTGAATGTACAATATATATGTAAAGTGCTGCGTAAATTGATGGCGCTATATAAGTACCTGAAATAAATAAATAAATGTTTCCTATGTGAATATTGACAAAGACCTTTTCTCCACAACCCTAGCCTAGGCAGGCAGGGCGTTTATCAGAATCTGGAAGCCCCCTTTAACAATAAGGTGGTACCCAGATACCATCCCCCTATGTGAATAAGTAAGGGGTACATAATACCCTTCCAAGTTACAAAAAAACTGAAAAGAACACACAGAGTTTGTGTCTTTTTTTAATTTAAATTTTTTCTTCTTTAATGTCAGTTTATCTGTAGTAGGTTGTATACATTCAAGTTAAGAACATCCCCAAGGCATGTTTTTTTAAAGAAAGTTTTCATTTTTAATTTATTTTAACTTTTAGCTTTATTAAAATCACTGCTCAGAGCCCAGAGCCATGCCCCTCATATAATTTATTTGAGAATCCCTTGCCTATTAGTCTAGAAAATGGAGAGGACTGATTTTTAACACTCGACTCCCATTGACTTTGATAGGGTTTGGATTCAGCACCCTATCTTGTGTAAAGTTTGCCAAACCCGCCTTGAACTGATCCCAGATACATTTGTGTTATCCGTAGTAAAAGTAGAAGCAACATTTTCATAAAAATGATGGTATTACAGTTGTGTCCAAAATTATTCAACCCCCACTGAAATTGAGTGTTTTGGCCAGTTTGACATTGCTTTTGATCATTCAGTCATCTTGCTTACATTTACATTAAAGAGGCACTTGTAGGTCAGACAAATATAACATAACAGTTATAATGAAATAACCACAAATGTCTTTTCTGTGCTCACAGCATTATCAGTTTTATTCAACCCCCAAGTGACATTCAATCTTAGTACTTAGTACAGCATCCTTTTACAGTTATAACAGCTTTTAAACGTGAAGCATAGCTTGACACAAGTGTCTTGCAGCGATCTACGGGTATCTTCGCCCATTCTTCATGGGCAAAGGCCTCCAGTTCAGTCACATTCTTAGGCTTGCGCACTGCAACTGCTTTCTTTAAGTCCCACCAGAGGTTCTCAATCGGATTTAAGTCTGGTGACTGCGATGGCCACTCCAAAATGTTCCAGCCTTTCCTCTGCAACCATGCTCTAGTGGACTTGGAGGTATGCTTGGGATCATTGTCCTGTTGAAAGGTCCAACGTCTCCCAAGCCTCAGGTGTGTGACGGACTGCATCACGTTTCCATCCAATATCTCCTGGTACTGAAGAGAATTCATGGTACCTTGCACACGCTGAAGCTTCCCTGTACCTGCAGAAGCAAAACAGCCCCAAAGCATGATTGACCCTCCACCATGCTTCACAGTAGGCAAGGTGTTCTTTTCATCATAGGCCTTGTTCTTCCTCCTCCAAACATAGCGTTGATCCATGGGCCCAAACAGTTCTAATTTTGTTTCATCAGTCCACAGAACACTATCCCACAACTTTTTTGGTTTGTCCACATGGCTTTTGGCATACTGCAGTCGACTCTTCTTATTCTTTGGAGACAGCAAGGGGGTACGCCTGGGAGTTCTGGCACGGAGGCCTTCATTACGCAGTGTGCGTCTTATTGTCTGGGCTGAAACTTCTGTACCCACATCTGACAAATCTTTTCTCAGTTCCTCAGCAGTCACACGGGGACTTCTCTCCACTCTACGCTTCAGGTAGCGCACAGCAGTCGAAGTCAGCATCTTCTTTCTGCCACGACCAGGTAGCGTTTCAACAGTGCCCTTTGCCTTGAATTTGCGAATGATGCTTCCTAAGGTGTCTCTTGGTATGTTTAACATCTTTGCAATCTTCTTATAGCCATTGCCCTTCCTGTGAAGAGAAATCACCTCTTCTCTTGTCTTCCTGGACCATTCTCTTGCCTTCACCATGTTTGTAACCACACCAGTAAATGTCTAGAAGGAGCTGAGTATCACAGTCATTTTAAAGCTGCCTAATTGGTGCTTATTATGCTTGATTGCTGCTCGGTGACATCCACAGGTGTTTTCAATACCTGATGGAAAGCACCTGTATGAACCTCTGTTCTTCAGAGTGGTAGTCTTTAAGGGGTTGAATAATTGTGGCAATGAAGAAACCACATAAGAACCATTTACTACTGTATTACATAAACAATTGATGTCATTTTAGTTGCATTTGGGTAGTTACAACGTCCTTGTAGGATTTGATTCTGAATACAATTCCAAATGTACACTATAGTCCCTAAACCCCTTTACAGCATTGGGGGTTGAATAATTTTGGACACAACTGTATATTGCATCCACATTAGATGTGGGATTCTTTTCATTACGAATCAAAATTTGGACAGCAGTTTTGATATTCGGAGATTAGGATGTATACGAATCTCCAATTCACAATAATGAATTTCAATGAATCAAAAAATAAATTATAACAAAACAACACACGCATTCATATTCCTTTGTTTCATTTGGATGACACGATGCAATAGTATGGGCCTTTTGTTAATGTTTGAAGCATCCAACATAACGTCACGACATGACAAATGAATCCAAAATTAATTGTGTTCCATTTGTTCTTTAAAATCCATTTTTTTTTGCATTAACATTTTTCATTATTATACAAAAATGCACGACAGATGAAATGGAAACATATAGCAGTAAATACAGTAAGGTACAAATGTGAAATACGATGATTTCTATTTATTGTGTTTGGTTTGGAAGGAGGCGGATCCATCAGAATCTCCGAATCATAACATAATGAATGAATGCAAAATTAATGTCATTCCATTCATTCTTTCGGATATTGTCAATCAGTTCATTTTTCTTTGTAACGAATGGACATAATGAATGAATCTGAAATTAAATTTGTTCCATTTGTTCTTTTGGATATCTTCCAATCAGCCAATTCCATTTCTCTTTGTAACAAATGAACATAATGAAAGAATTAAAAAATAATTTTGTTCCATTTGTTCTATTGGATATCGTCCAATCAGCTCATTTTATTTCTGTTTGTGGGTTGGACTAGCAGGAATGACTCACAGTGCATACAGTAAGAAATCTCCTGAAATAACTCAATATCATGTTAAAACGAAATACAGTATTTTTCGCTCCATAAGACGCACTTTTTTCCCCCCAAAAAAGGGGGGGAAAATGTCAGTGCGTCTTATGGAGCGAATATGGAGCGGCCAGTCTGGTATTTCCGCCGCCACCACCGTGTCAGAATAATGGGCCGGCCGCTCAGCTCTTCTCTGAAGCAGGACCTTACCTGTTCCTCGGTCCAGCGCTGTGCAGTCTTCCCGCGCCGGCAACTTTAGTGTGGGCACCCGGCTGTGACAGTCGGGTGCCCACTGCGCATGTGCGAGAACTGCTGCACTTTGTGAATGGTCCAGCGTATTCTGGGACACATGACAGGTCCCAGAAGACACTGGGTCATTCACAAAGCGCAGCGGTTCTTGCGCATGCGCAGTGGACACCCAGCACAAAAACTCCATGGAAGTGGGAGCGTTACCTGTCAAATCCAGATACCCACTCCCCCTCCCTCCCCAAAGGTCCGCAGTCTCTTGGTCATCTCCTGTACTATGTCCGCAGTCTCTGGTCATCTCCTGTACTGTCCGCAGTCTCTGGTCATCTCCTGTACTATGCCCGCAGTCTCTGGTCATCTCCTGTACTGTCCGCAGTCTCTGGTCATCTCCTGTACTGTCCACAGTCTCTGGTCATCTCCTGTACTATGTCCGCAGTCTCTGGTCATCTCCTGTACTGTCCGCAGTCTCTGGTCATCTCCTGTACTGTGTCCGCAGTCTCTGGTCATCTCCTGTACTGTCCGCAGTCTCTGGTCATCTCCTGTACTGTGTCCGCAGTCTCTGGTCATCTCCTGTACTGTGTCCGCAGTCTCTGGTCGTCTCCTGTACTATGTCTGCAGTCTCTGGTCATTCCCTGTACTGTGTCTGCAGTCTCTGGCCATCTCCTGTACTGTGTCCGCAGTCTCTGGTCATCTCCTGTACTGTGTCCGCAGTCTCTGGTCATCTACTGTACTGTGTCCGCAGTCTCTGGTCATCTCCTGTACTATGTCTGCAGTCTCTGGTCATCCCCTGTACTATGTCCGCAGTCTCTGGTCATCTACTGTACTGTGTCCGCAGTCTCTGGTCATCTCCTGTAGTATGTCCGCAGTCTCTGGTCATCTCCTGTACTATGTCCGCAGTCTCTGGTCATCCCCTGTACTATGTCTGCAGTCTCTGGTCATCTCCTGTACTATGTCCGCAGTCTCTGGACATCTCCTGTACTATGTCCGCAGTCTCTGGTCATCTCCTGTACTATGTCCGCAGTCTCTGGTCATCTACTGTACTGTGTCCGCAGTCTCTGGTCATCTCCTGTACTGTGTCCGCAATCTCTGGTCATCTCCTGTACTGTGTCCGCAGTCTCTGGTCATCTCCTGTAGTATGTCCGCAGTCTCTGGTCATCTCCTGTACTGTGTCCGCAGTCTCTGGTCATCTCCTGTACTGTCCACAGTCTCTGGTCATCTCCTGTACTGTCCGCAGTCTCTGGTCATCTCCTGTACTGTGTCCGCAGTCTCTGGTCATCTCCTGTACTGTGTCCACAGTCTCTGGTCATCTCCTGTACTGTCCGCAGTCTCTGGTCATCTCCTGTACTGTGTCCGCAGTCTCTGGTCATCTCCTGTACTGTGTCCGCAGTCTCTGGTCATCTCCTGTACTGTGTCCGCAGTCTCTGGTCATCTCCTGTACTGTGTCCGCAGTCTCTGGTCATCCCCTGTACTATGTCCGCAGTCTCTGGTCATCTCCTGTAGTATGTCCGCAGTCTCTGGTCATCTCCTGTACTATGTCCGCAGTCTCTGGTCATCTCATGTACTGTGTCTGCAGTCTCTGGTCATCTCATGTACTGTGTCTGCAGTCCCTGGTCATCTCCTGTACTATGTCCGCAGTCTCTGGTCATCTCATGTACTGTGTCTGCAGTCTCAGGTCATCTCCTGTACTGTGTCTGCAGTCCATTGGTTCAGAATATTTTTTTTCTTGTTTTTCTCCTCTAAAACCTAGGCGCGTCTTATAGTCAGGTGGTCTTATGGAGCAAAAAATACGGTAACTTCCGAAAATACAACAAATCAATTCTGAACATCATGTATACAAAATTAATCTGAATATACGCAACAAATTCCAAATTAATTATAAATAAATCGTCAGTGTCCGACTCCCGTATACAATATAATGCAGTGCCTCCAGCTGTTAAATACGGCAAATAATTAATAATCCAATAATATGGACACCTTAATAATTTATCACCACACTGTACTTTTATTTGAGTTTCACCAATGCAATTTCTTACCATATACACAAATATTGCCGACTTGATAAATAAATAAATAATGCATTTATGTACAAATATTTATATATATATATAAATACAAACGGAACTACTGGTGATGAGTATTGCTTACACACAATCAAAAATATATCACAATACTCTCTATGGGATTAATACACAAAATATATATCACTACAATGATAAAACAGTTCTTACAGTGGTCAGTACTTAATAGTTAGTGCTCAAGATATAACTTCCAATTCCCGCTGCCGAAGGGAATTAGGAAAATATTCTGGCTAAAATATGCACAGCAAAACACTTCATATAGGTTAGAATGCAATACAATATCGGTACCCAAAATAGTTAAAGCAATTTTTTAGTCAACCAATCTCCCTACACCATGCAATTTATGTATCTATGCACAATCTCAATATAACCAGCACAGAAGAATTATGATTAAGGTTCTAGTCAATTTTAAATGTATAAAAAAGTTATTATTTATTATTATTATACAGTATTTATATATTTATTATTATTATACAGTATTTATAAAGCGCCAATAGTTCGCTCAGCGCTGTACATTACAAAGGGGGACAGAACATGTGACAGAACAATAACAATACAATGCAAAACATGAGGGGATTGAGGGCCCTGCTCTTTCCAGCTTACAATCTAGGGGGGGAGGAGATAGTGGTACAGGAGGAGATAGCTGTGGGGGATGGAGTGGTAGGAAGAGTGGAGGAGGTCGTCAGGTTAGCAGGGGGTGGGGTAGGCTTCCCTGAAGAGGTGGGTTTTCAGGGTGCACCTAAAGGAGAGGAGAGTAGGTGATAATCTGATGGGTTGGGGCAGGGAGTTCCAGAGGATGGGTGACACCCTGTTGAAATCCTGGAGGCAGGCATGGGAGGAGGAGACCAGGGAACTAGAGAGAAGGAGGTCTTGTGAGGAGCGGAGTGTGCGTGTTGGGTGGTACTTGGATATTAGGTCAGTGATGTAGTTCGGGGCAGTATGGTGGACAGCTTTGTACGTCAGTGTTAGGATTTTGAATTTGATCCGTTGCGCAATCGGAAGCCAGTGGAGGGATTGGCAGAGGGGGGTGGTTGAAACGGAGCGGTTGGAAAGGTGAATGAGTCTGGCAGCCGTATTCAGGATCGACTGAAGCGGGGATAGCCAGCGGCGAGGCAGAGCGTTTTATTTTAGAGCAGGGGTTTTTTGTGTTTTTTTTCATGAGTGTCTCACATATATATATATATATATTAAATGTCCATTGTCTTATAAGACCTCCCATGGTAATTGACGATTGGACAGTCAGAATGCCGTTTATTCTGGAAGTTCTTTACCTGTTCATTGGGGGCAGTCAAGTTCCATGAATGAAATGGTGATCCATAGGGATGAAGGTTCTACTGATAAAATTATGTGTCCTGCTAAGATATAAAAGTGGCTTTTCTCAATATCTCTTTTAAATAAGGTCCATATATATATATTAGTTGATTTAGTGGCTCATCTTCCTTATATGAGAGTTGTGTCTTGATGTTTGACCTTTGTCCTGAAAATTGTAGATCTTCATATAATATTTCCATAATTTTTTACGGTACTAAATCAGATCTAGAGCATTTAACTCCAGTCCATCATGTTATATATGTCATATCTCTCTCTGCATCCTGATGGAGGGTACATACACAGTTATGTTCAAAATAATAGCAGTGTGATGAAAAAAGTGAATAAAGCTCAAAATCCTTCTAATAGCTTTTATTTCCATCCACACAAATGCATTGGGAACACGACACATTCTATTCCAAATCACAACATGAAGAAAAATAGATTAAATTTGTGTTGTTCCTCTAAAAAAATTGAAGAAAAGTGAATATTAGACGGTTCAAAAAAATCGCAGTGTTTGTATTCTTCTTTACAAACTCAAACATTCACTATATAAACTGAAAACTGTGTGAAGATTTTGCTTTCCTTTGAATCACTTAATGAATATTTCATTGTATAAGCACTGTTTCTGAGAACTGCTGTACATCTGTGTTGCATGGAGTCACCCAACTTCTGGGCCCTGTGATCAGGTATTCCAGCCCAGGATGATTGGACGACATTACACAGTTCTTCTCTATTTCTTGGTTTTGCCTCAGAAACGGCATTTTTGATGTCACCCCACAAGTTTTCTATTGGATTAAGATCCGGGGATTGGGCTGGCCACTCCATAACGTCAATCTTGTTGGTCAGGAACCAAGATGTTGCACGTTTACTGGTGTGTTTGGGATCGTTGTCTTGTTGGAACACCCATTTCAAGGGCATTTCCTCTTCAGCATAAGGCAGCATGACCTCTTCAAGTATTCTGATGTATTCAAACCGATCCATGATCCCTGGTATGCGATAAATAGGCCCAACACCGTAGTATGAGAAACATCCCCATATCATGATGCTTGCACCACCATGCTTCACTGTCTTCACAGTGTACTGTGGCTTGAATTCAGTGTTTGGGGGTCATCTGACAAACTGTCTCCGCCCACTAGACCCAAAAAGAACAATCTTACTTTCATCAGTCCACAAAATGTTGCGCCATTTCTCTTTAGGCCAGTCAATGTTCTCTTTGGCAAATTGTAACCTCTTCAGCACGTCTTTTTCCCAACAGTGGGACTTTGCGGGGGCTTCTTGCAGATAGCTTGGCTTCACATAGGAGTCTTCTAATTGTAACAGTCCTCACAGGGAACTTTACATCTTTTTTCATCTTCCTGGAGCTGATTGTTGGCTAAGTCCGCGCCATTTTGGCTATTCTTCTATCCATTCCAATGGTAGTTTTTCACTTTCTTCCACGTCTTTCAGGTTTTGGTTGCCATTTTAAAGCATTTGCGCTCATTTTAGCTGAGCAGCCGATCATTTTCTGCACTTCTTTATATGTTTTCCCCTCTCCAATCCACTTTTTAATCAAGGTACGCTGTTCTTCTGAACAATGTCTGGAACAACCCATTTTCCTCAGAATTTCAGAGAGAAATGCAATTGTAACCAGCATGTCCAACATTTGCTGCCTTCCTAACTTAAATAAGGGCAATAATTGCCACCTGTTTTTCAAAGAATGAATGACCTCACTAATAGAACTCCACACTGCTATTATTTTGAACATGCCCCTTTCAATGAGTGATTCAATGACACAGAATCAGCAGCACAAGGTTGGATGTTATTTGGCTGCATTGTATTTCAAACAGGTCTTCTCCATTTAGTCTTAATTGTTTGAAATGGCTTCCTGGACGGGTCATATTTAGATTTTACATAACTGGCTGACAGATAACAGCTGGCCTCATAACTATCTTTTGAGGAATGATATTTATTTTAATAATTTATGAATCAAAATCACTACAGTGCACATCTCTAATCCACATCACTCCTGAGCAGGAATCCCAACCTGCACCAACATACCAGAGTATTACAAATAGTAAAACAAATAGCAAAACAGAGATTTTATTTAGAGATGAAAACAATTTAGTGATACCCATCTAAATTTAAATTTCAAAATTATTGCCAAACAAGTTATCGCTAAAGCATGGAAATCACCCTTACTGAGTACGATTGCAGTTATGACTAGGGTCACTCAGGCGATGATCCACGCAAAAATAGAAGCCACTATCCTAGATTCCATCCCCAAGTTTAAAAAGATTTGGAACCCATGGGTGGAGCATTTCCTCCCACCCAACTTTGACGAGTGCCTTCTCAACCCATAATCTATGTTTTCTGCTTTACGGGAGCCATCCTTTGCTGATACTGAGGTTATTTGGCTATTTTCCTTATCCCCTTCCTTGGAGCCGTACACCCTACCCTTCCCTTTCTTTCCCCCCTCCCCCTTCCCTTCATTTCAGGCTCTATTTGATAGTTGTTGTTCACTCTTGTTAGGGCTGCCTGACTAGTATAAATGGGAACCTTTACTGTTCATTTACTGTACACCTCCAAAATCCCATTTGTTTACTTATAACCTATGTTGTTGTACTTTAAAACAATAAAATATTTGAACAAGAAATTTCAAAATTCTTTAATCATGGGATAGGATTGTGATGGATGAAGTAATTTCATTTATTTCATAGTAGGCTGAGTAGACCCAAGAGACATTACAAATACATTCTGTTATTTATTTTGTTCTCTGCATGATAATTGGAATTAAAATACCCACTTGACAATTTGATAGCACCTGGGGTAAGGATAATAATATTCACACAAGACACATCCTCAAGGAAATGCCAACTAAGATAAAAGGAGAACCTGGGAAATCTTGCTGTGAAAGCAAGACATTTGAAAATCAGTGCAAGGTGTAGACATGGCATCGGAATGCTGAGATTCCATCACACCTCTTCAGCTCAGAGTAACTCAATGTAAGTCTACTTCAATGCTGTTCCTCTGCTATCATTATAGGTACACATGACCATTATATCCTCCACCTTCTGTATTACACACATACACTACATACTAATACAATATTACAAAATGCTTGAAGTGAATTTGTCACATATGAAGCAAGATCAGTGTTGTAGAGAAGACTGACCAAACAAGAGAGACACTTCAGTTCTATGGTTTTTGATAAATCAGCAGTGGAAGTTAAGCAAATACTTACATTTCTGGAAGCTTTGTAGATAAACATAAGTGTCATCCTCATGGTTAAAGGGCTAATAATTGTGTCATGCATCTTTATGTCTTGAATTTGCATTACAATTGAGAAATTGTCTGCAAGGAATCTAACCCA